GGAGGGGGAACCAGAGGCCGACTTTGAACGCCGCCTCATAGCAGCCAAAATAATCATTGGCATGGTCAAGGTCGTCTTCCCAAACGACGGTTGCCTCGATAGGCGGCACCACAATCTCCCATCCGGTCCCAACTGGGCGCTTTTCCAAAAATGCGGGAAGGGTGGCATTTAAAGTGACCACATCCCGGGTGATCATGTGCGCATCCGTTGGATTATTGATAGAGGGCCACTTGTATGGCTCCTCATCCTCTTGAGGGGCATCCGGTTCCATAGTTAACTCAGTAGACTCTGATTGCTGGACGGTCTCTTCACCGCTTGTACTCTCGGATTCGTCCAAAATATCATCCCCGGGCGTGCTAGGTACGCCCGGCTGGTCATAAGGTACATAGTCAACCAGAACTTCTGCTGAGCCGTCTAACTGATATTCGGGGTCTACAGCCGTCCGTCTCGTCTGAGCCATTTTGTCCTGCACATGAACAGAGACGGTCGGATACGCAGAAGAGTAAGGGTGGTCCAAACACCCCTAGACAACATCCCCAGTCCTAGACTCAGCCGTATCCGGTGACCGGGTGACAACTGTCCTAGGCCGTGCTGTGTGTGTGTTGGGTGTGTCCATTATTCTTTACAAGCTATACAACCGGAAAAAGCGCAAAAAAGTTGCAAGGGGTAGAGACGGTACCTTGAAGTTGTAAAAAATTTGAAGACGCTTGACTCCTTGAAGTCATCAACCAGAAATCCTCTTTGTTGCTTGATGATACCCCAGACGGTATCGCGGATGTACCCCCTTGAAGAGCAACTGAATTTCGCTAAAGACCCAGACGTTTCTCTGGAAATTGGCTTGAAGATACCCTAGACGGTTGTGACCGGTTGTGGGTGTATTGAAAGCTAGGGAAAGTGAAAGGGTTCTCAGGCGGTTTGAAGGAAAATTGCTTGAAGATGTCCCAGACGGTTGTGATCGGCTGTGGGTATATTGAGAGCAAAGGGAAGAAATTTGACTATGGTCAGGCGGTATCTAAGAGCTTTGATCAAAGAGCACTCAGACGGTGACCGGATGAGTGAAGAAAGAGAAGATGGTTTTGAATGAAATAGCAGCCGGTATCAGAGCGTTCTCTCAGAAAATTCTCTCAAAAGAGAAATTTTGCAAAGTGTGAGAATGAGAGGGGGGGTCTCTACTTATAGAGAACCCCAGAAGGCGAACCGTCACCTTCCCATTTCGAATTCAAAAAAAAAAGAAGAAGAAGAAGAAGGAGATGAAGCGTCACCTTCTCAGATCGTGACACTTGTCACTGGTGCCACGTGGCAAGCCACGTCACACTTGTGAGGGGAAAATGTTTAGGGTAAAAATACCCTGTCCACGTGGCCCTATAGCATGCTGACACGTGTCAGCCTCAGAGAGGTACTAGGGGATCCAATCCTCTACTGACACGTGGCAGTTTAACCCTAAAAGGGGAACTAATCCCCTTCCACTATAAATAGAGGAAAATCTTCATTTATTACACATTCATAAATATACACAAAAAAACCCGAGGAATATTAATTGCAGAATTCTCTCGGAATCCGAGAGAAAAACCTTTACATTTTGCACTTTCATACATCCGGAAACGTTCTAACTTGATCGTCGGAGACGGAACTCCACCCAACCGGAGTTTCCGTGGTTTTGCAGGTACAGACGGCCGACGCGTATTCTGGGAATGGTAACTCTCCCGAGGGACTCCAAAAACCCCGAAACACTACTGGTTGTTCCACAATATTAAACCTTGTTATGGTTGCTGCAACGTTAGAAGAATCTAATGATGTTGAGGCAAATTAAGGAAGGACAATGTTATGATCTGGTTTGCAAGGTAACTGTTAAGGTGTTGCTGCTTCCTAAATCATTAGAATCTGTACTGTTGAGGCAAATTAAGGAATGACAATTGAATATTTTTTTTTTTCAACAACTACACTTGTGAGAAAGGATGAGAGAATTACTTATCTGAACTTCCTTATCGGTCCCAAATTGTACGAAGCCAATTGGTTGGATTTGGTTAAGGGTGGCTACATTGCAAATGTACAGCGTGCTGAAGTTTTGTGCCCGATGACAAAGGAGTTCTTTACCGAATATTTGAAGGAAGAAAATTCCAAGAAAAAGCAGGTCTGCGAGATTGTTCATTACATTAAAGCGTCCTCAAAATCGAGGAACTTTATTTTACATTCAGTTATCCTATCTTGTGTAGTTTGTTTTTTTTTTTTTTTTTAGTTTTTTAAAGTGGAATATTACAAGTTATTGAAGAAAATATGTTTTTTATGTATATTATGATTATATATAAGTATTTGGTACAATTTAAGTGAAAAAAATGCAAAAAAAAAATAAATTTTTTTTTTTAATTTTTTAGGGCACTTTTGGCACCGGTTTTGAAACAGAACCGGGTGCTAAAATTTTTTTTTAAAATTTTTTTTGGGCCATGTTTTGCACCGTTTCACAGCAAGAAACCGGTGCTAAAAGTTTTTTTATTTTTTATTTTTTTTGGCCATTTTTCGCACCGGTTTTTTGGCCATTTTTCGCACCGGTTCACAGGAAGAACCGGTGCGAAATCTCAGTTTTCGCACCGGTTTTGAACCGGTGCGAAATCTTTTGGTTTTTGGCATCCCTCAAATAGGTACCGGTTCAAAACCGGTGCTAAATGGGGGTTTTGAACCGGTTCCCATTTGTATTTTTCTCCTAGTGTTCAATCTCCACACTAATAGCCACATTACTCTTTCCTTTTGTCGGAGTTTTATAGAACTCCTCCTTAACATTCACTTTGATTCAATACAACAATTAAGTAAAGTGAATACAACAATTATTGGCATGATTAATATATCAGTAATACCAACCAACCATGTTTAAAAAATAGCAAACAAATCCCAACAACCAAATAGGTTAAGTAACCAACAACCAAGACATACATTTCAACAACCAAATAGATTATGCAACCTAAAATTAATGGCATGCATTATTATATCAATAATACCTGAAATTCCCACATATAAGACCCACCACCATGTTTAAAAAATAGCATACATATCCCAACAACACGTAATCCCCACCACAATGCTATATACTATAACAGTATTGCATGCTACAACACTAATTTCATGATTAGCTCAAACTAATTGCATAAAATGAAACCCCTAGTTTCAAAATTTCAAAATAGAAACACTACAAACACCTCAAACTAAATATACCAAACACCCAAATACAAGGCGAAATAGAAATACTTAAGAAGAGGAAAAAAAAAAATCAAACAACAGTCAATTCCTCAGTTGAACCTCCAACTTCCTCGTTCTCGGGTCCGACCTCATCCTCGGGTCCGACCGCAACCCCATTTCGATCTACTAAACCAAATTCATCCTCTATATAATTTTGTAAGAATGGATCATCCATCACTAACATTTTCCATACCATTTCGAACCATAAAGAATTTTTCTTTGAATGTTTTAGAAATTGGGGGAAAAATTAGAGCAAATTTGAAGAACGAAGGAACAAAAGCTCAGTGGGGAACTCAGTAAGTGTTTTTGGCTAAACATGTGCTATACGTACACAAGTATTCTACGTTTTAAGTGTATACATGCAATTCTCTTCTTTTTTTTCCCACTTTTTCTGAACCCGTTCTGTTTTATTGGGTCCTAGTCGTTACTTATCCACCTCGATTTCAATGTTATGCATTACCAAGTACATAACTTTCCTCCGTTTTTACTTCCTCTTCTAGGATTACCTTTTAATAAATTAGTTTAAATTAGTATTGATATGACCGTTGATTGCCTTGAACAACTTGATGGGAGACCAAAATTTAGTCCATGGTCTTGAGTCTTGACGGCCTATGAAACCCTCCATACTAGGATAATTTGACACGTGAACTTTGGTTCACTATTCATATTAACTTTGCTCGTAGTTTACTGGTAACATATTAAGGCCCCGTTCACTCCACCTTATTTTTGTTGAACTGAAATTATTTTTACTGAATTGAAATTAATTTTACTGAACTGAAATTAATTTTTCTGATTTTTTGTTATTTTTCTTCTTTAAAATTACTGATTTTTACTGAACTTAAATTATTTTTATTGAACATTACTTATTTTTACTGAACTGAACTTATTTTTGCTGAACAGAAATTTTTTTACTGAACTGAAATTATTTTTACTGAATATTATTTTTGTAAGGTGAAGTAAACAAGCTTTAGGGAAATTTGTTAGAAAGATCCTTTTAATTAGGCCACTTTATGGTAAAGGTCCTTTTATATAAAAAAAAGGTGGCACCAAAGGTACTTTTATCCCGCTTAGGTTGTGGCGAAGGTCTTTTCACCGAATTCCGGCTATTAAATTTTTTTTTTCCGGCCAAAAAAAGTCACATTACTATACTCGAACGTAATCACTTAAAATCAATTCTATTTTTAATTTTTTATTTTTTATTTTTTACCCTTTTTTCCTTAATTTTAATATTATTTTTTTTTACTTTCTTTTCTCTCCCTTATTTCCCTTTATCTCTGCTCTGTAAGTTGATGTGACTAGAAGCAGCCCATTAATGGTGATTCATTAATTGAAGAGAACATTATCACATTACTAATGGCACATTGATTAACTAGAGTGGATTTACGAGACTTCCTTCAATAGGTAAGGGTTTATTTGTTTCTCTTTCTCTCTTTTCTGCCACTACTACATTTTTGATCTATTGCAACCCCCAAATCCGTTGCATTAGGCGTCAAAATCCGTGGCATTAAGCCTAATGCAACGACCATCTACCGTGGCATCTGCTAGCGTTGCAGTAGGTCTAATGCAACGGCATATGACACCTAATGCCACGGCTCCACTGGTCCGTGGCAATAGACCAATACCTATTGCAACGGCATAACTTATCCGTGGCAATAGAGTACTGACTAATAATTATGATGAAATTGAACCTATTGCAACGGATGAAGCTAATTAATACAATGATAGGAGTACGTATCTACTGCAACGGATTGATCATTGGGTTTTTTTTTTTATTGGGATGGAATGGTAATATAATATTAATTAGTCGGTACAAATCTAAATATACTAACATAAACAAATTAAAGTATCATTTATATATAATAATTATAATGCAAAATACGTACATTACAAAATATTACTTGCTTATTTTTGGTATGACATACCCTACTAATAATACATAAAAGTTAGATAATTAATTTGATCGTCCAAAATACAAATGATCAACATATATATAAGCCGAAATATCCAAATCTTCACAAAGCTGGAACTTGAATAAGAGTCGCCAACATATATGCACCATTTGTTAGATGGCTAGTCACTATACTTCCGCTCCATTTGACTCCCCATGCACCTACACGTAAAATTGAAAAAAATAAAAGAAATATAATTAAACTAAATTATCAATTATAATAGACCAAGCCCACAATCAACATAGCTCAGATTATGGTTGTTTAAAAGATGGCATCAAAGAAATTTTTTTTTTACACAAAAAGGAAAATATTATTAATTTATAGTGGCAGTAGCCACATTAATTACCAAAAGATAAGCATTCCAAGTCTGAAAAACAAAATAGCACCCCGGAATATAACAAAGTGGCTTGCTGGTTTTGGCCTGCAGGTCCTTGCTGCTGGTTATGTCTGTTGCTGTTTCTGCCAGCTGTTGTTTCTGCTGCCTAAGCTACTGTTTCTGCTGCTGTTTATTTCACCTACACTAGAAGCCAAAATAAGGAGGTGAAAAAATCAATAGATTTTCTAATTCCTATATCAGTAAAGCACTAGCCCATAACTCCATTAGTACTCACGGAAGATTGAATTAACTTCATTACTCTATCAACCTTAAAGGGAAGAAAGGAGACTGAACATGCCTATTATTTGCCAAATGTTGTAACAAAAGAAATAATCTCAGGAAAGTGATTTTATGATGCAAAAATAATGAAGGCCTAACTTGGTATCTATACCGACAAGAGGAAATTTATTTGTCTCGCACTCAATTAGATTTTCCTAGCTAATCAAACACTTATCAAAAAAGAACTAGAGAAATCAAAATACTCTATAAATCTCAAGGCACGGTGCAACAAGCTGTAACGTAATACAATACAAATGGCATCCCAGTGCAAAAGCCACTGCCAAAGAGAGGCCATAAAAACAAGTTAAATGATCCCAATCTTATCATACAAAAAGTTCATCACTTTCCTATCAGAGTAACATATAACTTCTCAGATTATATTTCTCTAAAATGCAACAAACATATGAAACAATAAAAAATTGGAAAAAAAATGAAGCAACAATGTCAAATTGTCAAGAATTTAACAATTTGCAAGATATCACCAACATTCCCTAGATTTCCAATAATATGATATTAAAAATAAAATGTGTCTCTGCCTAGGTTGAAAATGGCTAGAAAATTCAACTGGTCTTCAATGTCACAAAATTAAAGGTTAGGAGGTACATAAACCTTCAGAAACCTAGAAGTTTACCAATCCAGTTAAAGGTCCTTGCTGACCAACAAGTTGCATTTGAAGCCTTACTTTGAGAACATCTGCAAGAATTGAATCAATGTATTCAGACTTCAGAGTGCTTGCAGATTGAATCTTGGTCTCCCATTTCCATATTGTATATGAACAGACTAAATGGTCACATAATTATTTCAAAGTACAAATAAAACCCCATTCCAATGATAACCCAGCTCATCAATCAGAGCAATTAAGAGCTATTATAAGTCCTTAAAACAAGATAAACAACCATTTCCCCTGACTGAACCCAGCGACTCTCGAGTGATTGAAAAGGGCGAGACTGATATTGCAACAAGACCGAGAAATTCTTTTTTTGAGAACATGGAATCTGAGCTTTAGCAGTGGGCTTTTGGGCAGCTAGCTTTCTTAGCTAAGCAAGCCCGGTTCTCCGGGCACTACGGTAGGACGTGGATCGATCATGACGAGAATAGACTTTTCCGTACGGTCCTAATGTTGCTGCTTACCACTCCCAAATCCATCCATGTGGATAATCCTTTAGCCAATACAACAATGACAACTTGCTTACAGAATAACAGTAACCCCCCCCCCCCCCCCCCGAGAAATTTCATAGGGGAATAAACTGAATAATATCCAAGACTAAGAATTGAGTAAATTTACTACTATTTCCATTCCTTAAATTTATTCCAATGTAAAAACTTTATAGATTCTAACACAAATGAAATATTGGACTCTCTCGATATATATATGGGAAAAAAATACTCTTATGAAATTTTGATTGATTTGTCTAGATATATTAATATCACAGTTTTACAGATTTTGATGATATTGATACCCAAAGCATTTATCGAAAAAAATAGGTAAACGGGAACGTCTTTTAGAATTGGAGGTAGTAATTTTATACACACTACAAAGGCTTTTTCCCTTCCAGACTGTTCAATGTGGCCACCAGACACTTCTAATTATCTCTCACACAAAAATTTCAAAATATAACATCAAAGAGTTTGAAATCTTCATCATTTTCTATACGCGTGAAGGATTTTTACAAAACTCAATATGAATTAATAGATATTAAACAGTATATTTCATTATTTCAATAGAACAATGCTCTGTAAGCGTTAGTTGGACAGACAACAGGCACGTATTTTACATTGCAAGATAGTTACATTTTATTGGAATCAACTTTAAAGCATTGGATATGAAACATATTCACTTTTATTCCTTTTAGCAATCCAAAGTTTCGTATGTATTTTGGAGGCACAAAGGGCCGGGAAAGGTCTTGTGGAACTCAGCATCATTATATTGATTTGATATAGATTATTTAAATGAAAAAGACAGTTTACCAAGATTATATTTACAATCAAACTAAACAACTTCAATGCGTTGAACAACTAATTAGGAGGATATGTGGGAAGTATAACAATACTATAAACTTGCTGCAAAAATTAAATTGTCTTCATATGAGCAAAAATTCAAGTTTTAAATATAAAATAATAAACCAAACTAATGATATTGCAGATTCTTAAGCTATATTTAACACGAATCTACCTGAATTGGCTCCGTAACACTAGCAAGCTTCTCCTTGACTTCCACCACATGCACCTCTACATTCGTTTGAGTTTCTTTTTCCATTAATAATCACAATACTTGACCTCAAACCTAGGTAAACAAATGTACAAGCTTAAAACCACAAATCGCGTACTTCTACCTTATTGCATACATGTCAACCCAAACACTTGCACTGTTGCACTTGCACTACATGTAAAGAAAGGCTACAAAGATTCAACAAAAAAAAAACAAAAAAAAAAACAAAAAAAAAAAAGGATAAAATTGTTGTAAATTGCATTTTTCCACCTTTTGGACATCAAGAAAGTAGCTTTCATGAGGTACTTTTTTTTTTTTTTTATCATGATACTAAAATATGCATAAAGACAGGTTGAACAGAGCCTTTGGGCAACAGATCAAAGGCTACATGCTCTAATAATTTAAATACCATATATCCAACTGGATTTCACAGTGCACTCAGTTTTATACGAGGAAAAAAAAAATCACATCTAATTTGTTCATATGAAGACAATTTAATTTTTGCAGCAGTTTATAGTATTGTTATACTTCCCACATATCCTCCTAATTAGTACAGGTTTTGGTCAATAATACAAGCACTTCAAAAAAAATTGGAAGGGAGTTTCAACCTATAATGGGGTGAATTTAACCTGGTATACACTAGGTGATACTGATCAGAGACAAGCTCAAAAGGAGAAAAAAAAAAAAAAACTGCTTCTTCAGCCATCAACCTTAAACCTCACAAAGAAACCTTCCCCCCCCCCCCCCCCCCCCCAAATTTTTCTCTTATATCTTATTTTGCAATTCTCTTCTACTGCTACAAATTACTTCCAACAAGATTGGGACTAAAAGGCACAACAGAACCTTAAAAACTCATCAAACCTCACAGTATTAAATAACAGCCAGGCTTATTATTGCTACATATATGTACATTAGTAATTGACACAAGCACAAAAAACATAGAAAATATATTAATAAGAAAGTAATCAGAATTCAAGAAATTACAAAATGAAAGTTTCCTATTATCACAAATCAAGATAATCAGCACTCGAATTCAACATTGCAACTAATTTCAATCTATAAACCATCACTTACAGCAAAACCAACCCAAAATCTACCATTAATGTCGCATAAAAACATAATAAAACCCTAAAAACACGACAAAATGGAGCAAACAAGTAGCAATTTGAGCAAAATTTCCACAAAATCTCGTCAATTAAATTAAACATAGTAATTATATGAATTCACAAACAATGAAGAAAATTAAGGATCTAGGTTTGAATTGGAGAGGAAATAAACCTTAAGCTGAGAAAGGAGACGAGTGGAGGTGTCGAATTCGTCAACGGAGGTGGTTTTGGAGTGGTTCCGTAGTGGAACCCTAACCCTAACACCACCGTGCTTGGTGTTCCTAAAAAACAAAGCCCTCATATTTTTTGAGTAATTTTCCTCTTAGAATTTGGAATTAATTATGGAGAATTGGGGAAAATATGAGAAAGTGAGAAAATGGATAATTGGGAAAAATGGAGAAAATGAGAAGTGCAGAGTGAAAATTGGGGAATATGTTGTTCAAAAATTTTGGGCAAAAAAATAGAGGGAAGTCCGCGCATTTTCAAATTTTTCATCATAAATACACTACCGTGGCAATAGCTCCTTTTTTTTGTTAAAATAGGTAGGCTAATGCAACGGTTCTATAGAGCCGTGGCAATAGCTCTACCTCTAAGAACATTAGTGTTAAATCCGTGGCAATAGCCTACTCTATTGCAACGGAAATTAAAATACCGTTGCATTAGCCTTTATTATGCCGTTGCATTTGGTCAAAAATGTAGTAGTGTGCTCTCTTTCACAATAGTTCGAAGTTCAATTTTTCTTTTCTAAAACTACTCATTTTGTAATCTGAAAATGGTGAAGAACAAGCAAAAAAGAAAACGGAAGACTCAAGATGTCATCTTTTTATTCACTTGGATAATAAAGACAAGGTATTAGAAGAAGGGGTTGATGAGAAAGAAATTAGGGTTTGATAAAGGAGGGGGGGGGAGGGGGAATTCGATTTTAAGTAGTCACGTGACTTTTTTTGGCTAGAAAAAAAGTCAATGGTTGAAATCCAGTGAAAGGACCCTCACCACAAGCTAAGTGGTATAAAAGGACCTTTGGTGTCACCTTTTTTTTGTAAAAGGACCTTAACCACAAATTGACCTACTTAAAAGGACCTTTCTGAATTTTTTTTCTAAATTTTATCATAAAATATATTTTAAAATGGATATTAATACTATGTATAAAATTTCATAAAATTAAATGTTTTTTTATTATTTATAGTAATATTTAATTATATATATAGCTTATGTGCCAAATCGAATTGTGATATTATTCTAGGACAAAAAAGGGAAAAAGAGGTAAAAAAAAAAAAGCCTATAAATAGATAAATCCTAAATGTAAAATATTAAAAAGGAATGCCTAATGGAATGTGTAAGCAATAAAAAAGAATAGAGAGTAGATAGTTGTAGTTGTTATATTTAAAATGATTTTTTCACCTCTAATTTGTTTCAATTTGACTTTTTAATTTGCACAATAATAATATAGCGCGTTTTTTGTGTGAAAATGTGGCCAGCTGACACACACCAAAACACTGACCGGAGAACTCCTGATCGAGTAACCCCTGATCGACTGAGTAACCTCTATTAGTATAATAATAATAATAATATGACTAATGGCACTATCAGAAATACGCCGTATAGAATGAAATTGAAAGTTAACTTAAGTATATGTGATCTAATTGGAGCATAGATATTGCATTTAAGTTTATTTAAACCTAAATGGGTCTAAAAGTGATAGTTGAGGCTCTAGAAATAAGAACTTGAATTAGAAAACAAAAGATAAATAAACTTGGAATTACAAGAAGCCAAGGACAGAACAACCCTTATCGGCAAATCCCAAACAAATTCAAGCCAAACTAAGTTAAGAGAAACCATGCAAACAATTCAAACAAGCCAAACCAAACCAAAACATCCAAAAGTCCAACTTAAGGTGGCCTAAGGCCCAATCAAACCCGGCCCAACGACACATAACCCAACATCACTCTGCATCTGAAACAACCACAAAAATACCACAGTTAGTTGGGAGCAACTAGTAGTTCTCCCTCAAATAAAAAATAATAAAGTTTAGAAATCAAATTACAAGAAAGAAATCACTTACACTTAGCCATGCAAATCATGAAATAAACTTTAATCAAATGAACCAAACTAAAGCAAAATTTCATATAACTTTGAAAATATATATAATTCATATAATTTCATAATCCATAATAAAATCATTCGAACAGTAGAATTGGCATGGAGGGAATGCTAGTAGCCTTGCAATCCACTTCCTAGGGTTTATTAGGTCGCACCCCCGGTCAACTCATAGAAGATCGTGTCTAAGATTGGCTAACTCCCGATTATAGGTAGAAGCCTATAAGGTCTTAAACACCCCCCGAACAACAACAATTAACCCAGGTTAAGCTACCTAAGACTCGCAGTCAAGGTACACTACAAGAAATAGCTCAAATTCCGACGGACTGCTTCTAACGGACACGAAAATTCGTCGGAAATTACGAATTTTCTGATGGATTATTTAAATTTCGTCGAAAATTTCCGACAAATTTAAAAATTCCGTCGGAAATCCGTCGGAACTTTCTGACAGATTTTAAATCCGTCGGAAAATACCTAATTCCTGACGGATTTTAATTTCGACGGAAAGTTCCGACAGATTTTTTCTGTCGGAATTCCAAATTTCCGACGAAATTAAATCCCGTAGGAATTTTTCGACGGATTTAAAAAAAATAAATATATAAACCCTAAAAATATAAACCCAAAACTTTACTACCAGCCGCCACTCTCCCTTATTTCCCCTATCTCTTCTTCTCTTCCCTTTCTCTCTCATATTCTCAGTTCCCACTCCTCACCTCTTCTCTTCTCCACCCTTTCTCTCTCCTTTTCTCAGTTCTCACTCTCTCTCTTTTCCTCTTCTCTTCTCCGCCCTTTCTCTCTCCACTTTGATCTCGTCTCCACTTTCACTCTCCTATCCTCTTTTCCCCACCAGCCCGCATCACCATCAGCAAACGTCATATTCAAGCATTGTTCCCTGCCCGCTTCAAAAGGAGCGAACTAAAACTGAGTAGCTAAAGGAAGGTTAATTTCAAACACCATCAATTAAAGGTTTTTCATGTCAAATTCGACCATGAAAACTCTAGATCTAGAGTTTTTATGGTCGAATTTGACCTTTAAAACCCAAATTCGAGGTTTTTTGGTGGAATGTGAGGTATGTCCTCTTTTTCTTTCTTTTAATTTGGTTTGAGTATTTTTTTCTACTTTATTTTTATGGTGGTGTGTGATTAAATTGCTGTGGTGGTGGGGAGTTTTGGGTCGATCTAGGGTTAGGGTTTGGGTGGAAGGGATGAGGGGTTGTGAAATAAGGTGGGTTGTGGGTCGTTGTGGGTTATGCATGATGGGTGCATATCTGGGTTAGGCGTTTCGGTGGTGGTGGTGGTTTGTAGTTAGCATGTTCATTAACCATCGGGAACTCAGCCTCACACCCGACTATGGCCCCACACACAATTCAAAATCACTTAAAAATACTTAAAATAATATATTTCACTCAGAAACCTGCAGAGAAGCCTAAATGGTCTTACACTCAATTCAAACTGCATAGGAATAATCATATTTCTTAAATTCAATTAAAACTTCATTTCAAAACACACCTCAACTTAATAAACCACAAAAGGTATTGTCTGAGTTTGGGAATAAAATTAATTATTGGAATTCACCAATTAACCGCATTCACAACTCTTGGCGAAGTAATGCTAAAAACAGTGTTATTCTTCTCTAAAGCATTACGACGTCGATAATACAATGATAACTCACCCAAACTCAATCACACATCCAAATATTTCACCTTACTGGTTTGTAATACCCAAGAATTCATACATCACATGGTTAAAATATAATTTCAACTAATATACAACATTTACCTCAAAAATTTCATAAATTCATTTAATTAAACCAAAATCCTATACTAACAATTCATAGCACAACTAGATATGGACAACATCATATAAGCTCAAATAACATCATGAAAACCATTCCAAACAAGCTTCAAATGCGAAATAAAAATTAGGGCACATACATATACTCAATAGGCATCATATAAAACCATTACGGACTCAAAATTCATGACTTAACATGCTTAAACAAAAATACAAACGCAGGAGTCCCAAGTTCAATTCCAGCAGCATCATTCACACAAATCACTCTAAAAGCCACCTTAAACATGAAACTAAGTTTAGCCGATTGTAGTATACATTATAAAAATATAATAGGCCATGTTAATCATGCATTCGGGCTTAGACAATAAGCAAAACACATCATACAACTAACAAAACCACACACCTAACTGACAGTAGGCAGCAGCAACTCTTGATCAATGTTAGGTCTAAAAACTACCCAAAAACACATAAGATCATGCCAAATCAATTTAGAGAATATCCAAACATGATAATATAAAAGATAAACTTCCAATTGATCATAAAATTAAGAGATAAACATGCCTTAGAATTCCATCATCACACACCTAAATGAAAATATGGACAACAACGACCTATTTCAGTTTTAATCATGCTTTTAACACCTTAAACTTCACCCAAAATACATCAAAATACTCCTAATTTAACCCCTAATGATAACCTATCATGATACCATCAATATTTGAGCATAATCAAGACAAATACATCACTTAATTAAGCCTATATCTCACGCCTATCATCAGTTACGGGCAGCAAGTATAATCAGTCTTTAGCATGCCTTAATCATCTCAAACTTTCACCCATAATTTATCAAAATGACCTAAAAACAACCCTTAACAATATCCTAACATAATATCATCGAAATTAGGGAAAAACATAACCAAAGACAACACAAAAACACTGCTGTATATCATGCTCAACACAACTCATGTAATCAGTCTTTTAATGCATAAAAATCATCTTAAAACTTAATATAAACACATCAAAACATCACACAATAATTAGGGATTGATAATAGACTAATCTAAGCATGAAAAACATGATCAAACACATAAAACCACATGAATTTTACACGAAAATCTGACAGCATATTGTGTGCGAATATCAAATATTAAACCTAACACTAATCATGAATTCTAACCTATAATCTAACCCTAAACATTAGAATTCCTAACCTAAGGGATTGTACTAGTTACCTTTGAATCGTGACTTGATTAAAGACTTAGAAAAAGGAGTAGAAGACCCACGAAAATCCCCTTTGAAACCCATGAAAACCACACGCCCAAACAAGCCTTGTTTATCCTTGATTCCCTTGCTTCAATGGAGATATTCAACCACGATTTTGTTGCCAAATTAAGCAGCATGCAGCGTATGAAAGGAATGAAGAACGTTGTTTTGTGTAGCCTTTTGTACGTGAGAAAGGGAAGATGAGGGCAAGTGTTAAGGCATCATTAAGGGGGGTGTAATGAGGAGTAAATGGGGGATTACTTAGGTTAGATAATCAGTCTTTTAATCCCCCTACCAGCCGTGTGAGATGAGAGGGAAATGGGCTCACTTAAGCCCCTTAAATCAAGCCTCAAGAACTAATGTAACATGACCCCTCTTTGGGCTCACTTAGGAGTAGGTTATTAGCTTAGAAAGAAAGCTTATTAGGCCCCTAATTACGGCAGCCCATTCGCCCAACATAAGGCCTAAGCACACCTAAAAGCTTCTTGTTTAAACAATAATGATTTGGTCCAAAACCACGCAAGAGAAAGAAGTCAATTGTTTAAGAAATTGAAATTTAAATATGGTGAACAATAACAATTTTAATATTGAAATATAAATTATAATAAACTTAAGATAATAAAATGATTATTAACAAAATATAGAATTAAAGGTAAATAGGAATGAAATTTTTTGGCACGAAATTTCGAGGCATTACACCATATTGACAGCAGCTCCTTCAAGCCATATCCTTCGGTATCCCAATCTGATTGCCAATTGAAGACCATATCTTGTAGCAGCAGCCTTAGAAATATTTGGTTGCCATAATCCCTTCACTCTCCTTACGGTAGCAACAAGGAGCTTCCCATTCTCATCTCTGATTACAGCTCCTAGACACACATGCGAACCAGCCACCACATGAGCATCTACATTGATTTTCAC